CAGATTTGAAGTGCAGGGAAATATGCCGGACACACGGCGATGTAATATCGAATTGACCACTAGAGGGAGCAAAGGGTGCGCAGAAAAGGGGGGGGGAAACACACCCAAAGCTATAGGGACACACAAGCGACAAAAATGAGAATGGAGAATCACCTTTCCAAGGATAGCTTGGTGGCAGAATTGAAAAGACAAGCTATTCTGCAGTGACAAACTTGTGGCCTCCAGCCAATAGCCTACAAGATCCTTGCTGCATTTTTTAAAATATACTTTTCTATCTGGAGGCCTGAGCTTAAGCCAAGATCTGCCGAAGAAACCTTTCCCCCCACTTCTAGAGAAGTTCTGGCTCTCCGACTGCAACAGAAGAAGGCTCTTTTGCCAAGTATGTGTTCATTAACGCTCAGTGCTGGATGAAGCCAGCAGAGCGCGCCGCAGGGTCAGACCCATAAGGAGAGACTGATTAAACTCACCTTCTTTAGGGACCCAGCTGGTGATAACTATTACCTGCTGTTCTCATGCCTGTAAAAAAAAATCGCTACTGCTACGAGACCGCAATAGTTGGAACGGTGGCAAACAGAAGTCGAAGAGACCTCCTACTCGGGCCTGTGATTGTCCTTTCGTTTGTTTTCTGAAGGGTGGAGGGATTTCTCACGGAGGCCCTTGAAGGCAAAATTGGCACGGCCGCATTTAGTTGCCCCAAAACAGCTTGAATTTTCCTTGCAGCAAAACACACGTGCGCCCTGGCAGGCTTCTGTACTACCACGCAGGCACTCTGAGACTAGCCCAACCTCAAGACTGCAGCTCGTCACTCTCGTTCCACTGTTAAGTAAACTTTGAGAAGGACACAGTCAGATAGGAACACAAAAGAAGCACCTTTCGGGACAGAAGGGAATTTTAAATAGCGGGAACCCTTATTACTACTAGGCAACATGGACTAATCTAGCGGGGGGGGGGAAGAGTAGGGATAAAATTAAGACTCTTGGACAGCAAAGATACTCACACTCAAACACGGCTACTAAGGAGCGAGGACCGTGAGTCAGTCCAAGTATGATCCCTACCCTGTTTTGGCTGACCGCCGCCAGCTAGTTGCCACGGATCTGTGCAAATCGGGGAATCCAGATAACCTGAAAATAGTCAAATGCTAGAGAGAGCCCATGAAAATTACTGGGTTGGGGGGAGTGGGGTTGTTTGCTTTTAAGAGCTGTGCTGGTGGGAGACGCACCTGCCACCCATCGGCACCTGGTCGAGTTGCCAGAACCGGCCCAGACCTTTCCCGTGAGCTTTGAGGGAAGGGGATTCCCCGCAGGGATCCGTAAAGCAATCAGATGGCCAGCTTCACCACTCTGGATAGAAAAAGCGGATGATGAAACACTGCTTCCATATAGAGAAGACACGCACACGGACACACAAACCCACGTTAAATTAATGCAAACGGGAGGCTATGTTCTTGGTTCCTTTGTTCTGCACGATGCAGCGCGTAAAGTGACTTGTATGATAGCCGGGGGGGGGGGGGGGGGAGGCCTACCCAGACCAGTCCGTTCTTGCTGGGCTCCAGGAAATGCTCGATGAGGGCGTCGATGAGCTTCCGCAGGTCCTCTTCCAAGAAGGCCAGGTCACTGAAGGGAAGAGGAGGCGGCGGTTAGGAAGGGATCCCAAGTGCAACTCAAAGAATCATATCGTTGGAAGGGACCTCTAGGGTCATCTAGTCTGACACCCTGCACAATGCAGGAAACACACAAATACCTCCCCCCCGCAAACACCACCAACTGGCTCCTGCTCTACGCCCAGAAAATGGCAAAAAACCTCCAGGATCTCCAGCCAAACTGGCCCGGAAAACAATTGATTCCTGACCCCAAAGTTGTGATCGGCATTTCCCTGGGTGCGTAAGAAAGGGCCGCGGGAACTAAGCACTGAGGCAACCCTTCCTTCCCTCTCTCTTGAAATCTGCCACAGTCTTATCCAAAAGGGAAAGGCAAGGGTGGACCTCTGTTACGTTAAGAGAACTTAAGAACATAAGAGAAGCCAATGTTGGATCGGGCCAATGGCCCATCTACTCCAACCCACTGTGTCTCACAGTGGCCAAAAATACCAGGGGCCATCAGGAGGTCCAGCAGTGGGGCCAGGACACTAGAAGCCCTCCCACTGTTGCCCCCC